TGACCACAGTTGTTCTGCTTCTGCAGCCTGGGCAGTTATGCTGCGCTGCACGGGGAGTTTTACTGCAAACCCCACTTTCAGCAGCTGTTTAAGAGCAAAGGCAACTACGATGAGGGCTTCGGCCGGAAGCAGCACAAGGAGCTCTGGGCCCACAAGGAGGTGGATTCCAGCACCAAGACAGCCTGAGGCCCTCTGACCATCCATTCCCTCTGTAGAGGGCCTGGAGCAGGACAGTGTGAAGTGTGGGAGATTGGACTTGGGCTCACATGGGGAGGCAGGGTGGGAAGGGGATGAGGCCATCTTGCTCAGGCAGAGGGTTATGGGGGCAGGGCTCTGCTCCAGGATTTCTTCCTTTTCCCTCAGTGCGTGGTGGGGATTTGGGAACCAGGATGGGGGGGTTGCTCACCACCTTGCTTCCTGCTTCTTTCACCCTGCCCCACCTCACCCCCTGGCTCCCTGGGAGGCCCCCAAGCCCAGCTTCCTTATCTAGGTGCCTTTTCTCCAGCAAGGAGTCAGCATGCCCCCCTCAGGGTCCTAAGCTCCCTCACTGCCACCTGGGGCCCTGTGTGGCCCCCACTCCCCATCTACCTCTGCCCTTAGCCTGGTTCTGAGCCATGGAGACTGGAAGAAGGAGAGCCAGAGTGCCTCCTGTTGGGCCTCACAGAATGCCCACCAGGGCTCAGTGGGGGAGGGGAGGGGAAGTGGAGCTGCCCTGTGCCTCCCTGCAAGGCAAGGTGGGGCGGCCCTATACCCCAATGGGGCTTGGGACCATCTCGCACCACCGGCATCAAGAAGCAGAAGCTAAAGCACCTGCCAGGCTGAAAGCCACAGAGACTGGCAGGGATCTGGCAGCGGCCATACTCCCTCTTCTGTTTCTGCTGATTCTGACTGTTGTGATCAACCCTGTTTTAAACATGTTTTAACAGATCCTGACTCTGTATTATGTAGCCTGATTTGGGGGTGGGGGGCTTTGTGGCAAGGACACAGACTCACCATGCAGAGGTGGAGGACAGGGTGAGCCCAGACCGCATCTGGCCTTGATGGGTATCAGAAATACCAGCCAGCCTGAGAAAAGGGGTGTATTCTTCCAGCCAGGTCTCCATGCTGTCAAACTACTGATTTTATAACCGGAACCCTTTGTCTTTTAGCCTTGTGTTGGTTAAGAGGGTCAGGCAATCAGTGTATGATGGTGCCTGGCCTCACTACGCTTCAATATATTGGGGTGCAAAGTAGAACTCTTCTGCTGAGCCCTGGTCTGGGCTCCCTTTGCCCTGGAAATCAGTAAGGGATAGAGGGAATCAGCAGATCTCACCCTGTTTTTTCAAGCTCTGGTGAGTGGGGCAGCCATGGTCAGTCCCAGGTAGTCCAAACAGCTTGTCTGCCCCCTCTGAGGGAAAACAAACAAGGCAAATTTGGAGTACCTAAGACCCCCCCCCAACCCCCAACAGAATAAAGGCAGGAAGTCTGGGTTGTCCTGCCCCAAACCCAACTGTCCCGATTTCCCCAAATTGCCTGTGAGCTATATGTAAGTTGGTAGAGGAAGAGGGCAGACTCCTAGGGATTTGCTGCCCACTGCCCCATGTAACTCCTTAAGTTTTTAAGTGGCCTCATGCCCATAGGACAGTGTAGAGAGCTAGGCCTCAAGCTCTTGTGGCAGATAGATCACTGTGTTGAGGTAGACACTGCCCCTTGAAGAGCTAACACTGAGTAAGCAGAGTGGGTCCTCTGAGAGCTGCTGAGAACCTCACTTAGAGCAGGCCTGACTTCTGCACCAGAGCTTTAGATGGGGAAAAGGGTGGTCTCTCAGCAGCAGACCGACCAGAGGGAGATACCAGAGAGAGGGCTCCTTGAGGCACGTGATTTCTGCCTTGAAAGGATGGAACTAAGGGAAGTCCTCTGCACTGGGAACCCAGCCACCTGATGTCACTGGGGGGTGGCAGTGCCACCTTGGTAAATCTGCCCTCAGCAGAACTCCTGGGAGCAAAAAGAGGAGGTGCCACCTCTGAGCTAGGAGTGGTACCAGCTAAATTATCCCATCCCAGGATCCTCAGAGTCATTTAAAGTTTTCTACTGAGGGACCCAAGTTTGTTGCCAGGCACTATACCTGGCCCCTCCCAGGCAAACACCTCCTCCCACCACCCTTCAACCAAAAGCATTGCCATCGGACCCCTTGGGTATAAATGATCCCTTTTTATTTTAAGTAATGCGCGACACTGGCCTGGCTTTGCTCTGCAAGCCCTCAGTCAAGATATAGTCAAATAACTATGGCTGCAGGTTCTTCTGCACGATCCACAATTCAGACACAGACACAGAGCTGAGATGGGTGGGAGGGGCAGGAGGGTGGCAAAGGGCAGACTGTCCCCAGCCCTGGCCTCTGTTGGCTTGGCCAAGGCTGACATACCCCACAGAATGAGCAAATGGCACACGGCCCTTCCCACAGCAACCCTGGAGCTGCTAGGAGAATGCCCTTCAGAACCTTTGGGCCCAGGCCATTCTAAGCCCACAACTTTTCATCTGGATTATTTAAAAATAAATTAAAGTTAAGCAATAGCTTGGTCCTGAGGATGCTGAGCCAGCATGTCCACATTTTTGGCACAAAATCAGGGTCTTTTATTTTTTTTGGAGTGCATGGTTTGTTAGCTTGTTTGCAAATTCATTTTAAAAAACACAAACACATTCACTGTGAGGAAAGACCCTGGGGTGGGGGGGAGTGGGGGCTCTGTGAGAGCCTGAACCTGGGACACAGAGTCGTCTCATCCTATCAGCTCCGGCACTGCGCATGCTGTTTCCTTTTGGGAAAGGGGGACAGGACACGGGTGTGGGCCCAAGAAGAGTGATGGAGCCATAAAGACAGGGTCGTGGAGAGGCCGAGCTGCCAGCAGGCAGCTTTGGTCGAGATGAGGGGCCGGTCCCCAACCTGGGCAAGGGCCGAGGTGGAGGCAGGAGCACATGCTCGCTGTCTTAGGTCAGGGCTGGGGGTGCCTGACAGAGACCCCTGGGGAAAAGGATGGAAATGGGCCCAGGCCCAAATGGCACCGTGCAACACATTCCTGCAAAACCTGCTTTCATTTTCTCTCTCTTGAGCCGTCCATCACCTGTAACAGTCTAAAAGTGATATATATAGAAACCATCAAATATGATCTGAGATATAAATTAACAAGTACAAGGCCTCACATTACATGATGTGAAAAGGCTAAAAACAGCGATAGAAACTACATTCATAAAAGTGCATCGTCAACATACAACGAAGGCTTTGGCTTGTTCTGGTGCCCGCAGGGAAGTGGGCATGGCTGGCAATGAGCTGCCTGGTGCTAATCCTCAGCTCCCTGGAGACGCCCATCCCTGGGCACTGGCTTTTTTTTTTTCTTTTAATGACAACTCCCAAGGAAACTGGGTGTTGAGAGGGAGGAGCTTTAGCAATAGGCACATTTTGGAGGGGAGGGGCCGGAAGAAAGGACCAGCGCCCAGGCTGAGGTAAATAAGGCCAACTCTAAGCTGCTTGGAGATGCTGGCTCCCAGACCCCTGATGCCATGCCTCCCTCAAGGGAGGAGCAAGAAGGGAAAGGGGCTGAGACCTCACGGGGATGGGCAAGGCTGGCCAAGGAGGAACAGAGCTGGCGGTTTTAGACATGGTCGGTGGCATCACAGGGGCTCTCCCTTCTACCAGTTGGAGAAGGCTCTGGCCTAGCAGGGTCATACTCACAGACAGCCTGATATAACTCCCCTGGCTAGCCTGAGTGGTCTGCTCAGGGCAGGGTGGCCAGCTGGATCAGAGGCTCTCAGCGTGCTGTCCATCTTCCTGTCTGCTGCAGTGGGGCAACAGGTGCCAGGCCAGGAGCACAAAGGCCATTACCTTCAGCTCCTTCCAGTCCAGCCCAAGGCCCGAGCCCACAGCAGGGGTACTCAAAGCCCAGAGGGCACAGTCTCCAGTTCAGAAACTGGGTACAGCATAAGAGTGACTCCAACTTGTAAAACAGAGACAATTGCATTGACAAAACTGCCCCTTCAGTGGGGCAGTTCCACATCTCAGGCCCCTGCTTGGGAAGGCAGGGTCACAGGGCAGGCAGGATGGGTCCTCCTTCCCTGAATAAGGCAGCATAACACTTGCTTCATTCATCTTTGGTAAGGACAGGGACTGGCAAAGCTGATCTGGGGGCTCCAGGGGGAGTGCAGCCCAGGCCTCTGCCTTCCACTGGCTGCAGGACGCTGGGCTTTACCTCAGGCTTGGGTGGGCTCATCCAGCCCAGAGATGCCCTGGTGATCTCCAGACATGGGAAGGAGAAACAAAGTAACACTCTGAATGAAAGTAACACTATTAGGACCCTCGTGTCCATCTTGTGCCCCCAGATGCTCTGGGCTCTGGAGCGGATTGCAGTGTCAGGACAGCCCAGAGGGTGGAGCCCACGGTGCCTCACACACTGTTCTAGCCCCTTACCCTCCATGCAGAGCTTACGAGGCTGGAGCTCTCAGGTATGGCAGGCTGGGGGCTTCCAGTCCTTGAGGCTGCAACCGCCCCACCCTGGTTCTGGGCCCCCATAGCGGAAGGGGCACAGACAAAATGCTGGCTGGACTGTAGCTCCATGGTCCACAGCCTTGCCTGGGAGAAGCAGCAACTTTGCTGAGTCCCATAACAGCCCCTTGCCCATGCCACAGGGGCGGCTGGCAGCAGCGTGGCCTTGAGAGCTCAGTACACAAGCTGTGCAAAGTGGTGTGTGAGCAGCTCCTCGGCCGAAGGTCTCTGGCGGGCCTCCACAAAAATGCGCCTCAGGAAGTCCCGGCCGTGCTCAGAGATGTGGGATGGCAGCTGAGGATTGGTGGGCTGCGTGGCAATCTTGAAAATGGCGGCCATGGCTTCATACTCTGCCCAAGGTGGTTTCTCTGTCAGCATCTCTACCACAGTGCAGCCCAGGCTCCTGGAAAGAGAGAACCCAGTCACCTCTTGGCCAGCCTAGGCTCCCAGCTGCCCTGCCCACTGTTATGAAAGGAGGTGCTTTTCTCAGAACACACTGAAGCAGGATGGACCACGCTGAAGGTGAACACCCTATAAAGGGTCCCCAAGGCCAGAAGAGGCTTCAAAGCACTGTCAGCCTCATCCACACGGGCTTCATCAACCTATGTCCATCTGGGTACTTCTTGAGACTGAGGAAGAGAACCACTTAGTATGGACAGAAAGAACTCCAAGATAACTATATTAGTTTCCTATTGCTGCTGTAACAAATCACCATGAGCCTAATGGCATCAAAAACTACAAATTTATTTTAGTTCTGGAGGTCAAAAGTCTAAAATCAGTCTCACTGGGTTAAAGTCAAAGTCTCAGTAGGGATGGTTCTTTCTTGAAGCTTTGAAGGGAGAATTTCTTTGCTTTTTCCAGCTTCTAGAGGCTGCCTGCATTCCTTGGCTCATGGACCCTTTCTTGCATCACTCCAACCTCTTGGTTCCACTGTCACATCTACTATTCACTCTGATCTCCTGCCTCCCTTTTATAAGGATCCTGTTGATTATGCTAGCCTACCTGGAAAATCCAGGATGATCTCATCTCAGAATGCTTAAATTAATCACATCTGCAAAGGCCCTTCTGCCACATAAGGTAACATTTACAGGTCAAAGGGGTTAGTACACGGACATCTTCAGGGGACCATCATTCAGCCCACCACAAGAATATTCCAAGGGGAAGAGCCTTCCAGACCCTTTCAGAGGATGGACAAAAAGTTAAGTAGAGCAAATGTAAGCTGTTTGAGCATTAGGAGAGGGAGCGGAAGCCTGCTAGTGCTTAGAGGCTGACCCAGGCTCTCAGAATGTATTCAACCTCTTTTTTAGCAAACATCAGGGATGTTTTCCACAGCCTAAGTTCCCAGTAATAAATCTTGCTATCTGGAGTTAAAACACACCGCCACCTCTGTATCCTGGCCTGGCTGACAAGAGGCTGACACCCCCTTCCTCCCACCACACCACAGATCCCCAAGGCTCATTTGTAAGTTGGAGCCACTACAGCCCAGACAGGGAGATGGGGGTCCCAGCATTTCCACAGTGCTCACCACACATCTGCTTTCCTTCCGTAGCCTTCACCGCTGATCACCTCAGGGCTCATCCAGTAGGGTGTGCCAGTGACCGAACGCATGCCCGGGCCTGACATGCAGATGGTCTGCAGGCGCTTGCTGGCCCCAAAGTCCCCCAGCTTCACATTCCCGGCAGAGTCTCGGAGGATGTTGGCACCTATGGCATGAAAGGGCAGAGCCTACAACTCTGAACCCTCTGAACTTATTCCTCCCTCTTTCCCTCCCTCCCTCCCAGGTCACAGGGCTGCTAGGGAGGATGGGGTTACCATGAATTAGATGTGAATTGCACAGGGCAAACAGGCTAGTGATGGAAACCTTAGCCCTACAGCATGAAATGATCATCACCATGACCAACGCTGCTTAGCACTTTACTCTGCAGTATTTTCCCAATTGTTCAACTGATCTCCACACCAATTCCCCAAGAAAGTAATTAGAGTCCTATCTTTCAGAAAGTTTGAAATGGTTAAGTGACCAGGTCTTGGGGACCCCATGGCTTGCCCCTACTCACCCTTGATGTCCCGGTGAACGATCATGTTGCTATGCAGGTAAGACATGCCTTCCAGGATCTGCCGGGTGTATTTTCGGGTCACACTCTCTGTGAGAGCTCCGTAGGCCTTCAACTGGTCTTTCACTGAGCCCTATAGCCACAGAAGTCAGAGGGAGTCACTGCGGGGAGGTGGCAGGAGAAGGACAAGGCTATTTCCAGCCCCCAGCATTGCAGCAAAGAAGTGATTCATCCAATCCCCACCTGCAATGTACCAGGTGCTTTGCTAGGGGCTATTGGGCAACTTGGAGAAAAGTTTGAAACAGCCCTTCCTTCCCTCAAGCAATGGGTGACTCAAATCCAGAAAGGAGGCCCCACTGCTCCAGGTAAAGGTGGTACTAAGTGGGCAGTGCAGCCATCCTGGGAGCTCCAGGTGAGGGTGGCCTGGGACATTTCTCATCCATACTACCACTGTGACCAGAGGTAGGCCCTTCTTGACTGCAAGTCCTGCTGCTACCTCACCTTCTCCTCTGAGCCTCTGGTCTCAGGGGATCAGACCCATGTAAAAGAGATCTCTCCTCTGCAGCCCCCAACCCCAGGCCAGGCCCTGTCTTGTGTGTGTCTCACATGCATCAAGGGGCACATACCCCCGGCATGTACTCCATGAAGATGGTCAGGGTCTTCTCAGCACGGTCCCGCAGACAGCCATAGTACTGCACAATGCGCTCGTGCTGCAAGTTCTTCAGCAACTGGATCTCACACTCCAAAGCACTCACCTCCTAGGGGAGGGGCCAGTGGTCACCTCAGCTCTCAGGACCCTGGTTTGCCTGCTTGGGATCAGCTCAGCTTGCCCTAGGCAGTGTCCTCAGAGGGATCTATCTGCCTCGGAAACTTCAGGTGGAGAAAAGGAGACTCTCTCAACTGTCTGGCCGTTGGCCTCAGTGCTGGGAAACCCTTTGAATGGTGGCACTACCACAAAGGAAATAGGCAGACAGTGTGGTGGGAGAAGCTGTGGGTGCTTGGTAACTGCTATACTTAAGGTATTTATCCACTCAGATTGGAGTGTAGGCCACACCTAAAGCTGAACTACAAAGACAGGCTCCTTCCTGGGCTGATAGAGACATCGTTTAGTAAGGCAGGTGCTACTCTTTGTGGCACCGGTCGTTACCTCTCAGTTTCAGTTGCTTGGTACTTTGGCATCAGCTCAGTTCCTCATATCCAATCCCTCCCCAGGGTGCTTGGTGCTCTTTGGACCACAGTCCCTTCACCCCATGGCCAATGCCAGGGCCATGGTGGACAGCAAGTGAATGTGGGAGCAAGAATAATGAGGGGAGCAACCTATAACTTTTTGAGCAATTAGTTCTGTGCAACGAGACAGGCATTGAGAGGGTGGAACTGGAAGTCAGACCATGGGGAAGGCAGTACCTTGCTTGTCTCAGGACTGTCTGGGTCAAACTGGACCTGCTTGGAAGCAAGTTCACGTCCTGTGTCCACGTCATAACACAAATAGACCCTGCCGAAGGCACCCTGGCCCAGGAGCTTCCCTCGGCGCCAATTGATGGGGGCACTAGGAGCTACAGGAGGACAAAAGGGAAAGAGCTTTAGTCTGTGCACATTACTTATTGATATCCTGCCTCATTCCCCAGAGGCTCTATATGGGACCTTTGGCTGGGGCTTCCCTATCACCCAGCACTATTAAATCTGACTGCATCATCTCTACCCCGACCTTTAGCAGGCCCAGTGCCCTGGTCAATCAGACCTTCAGGCCTGAGTCCCAAGAAGCAGAGGACTGGCTGAAGTCACGGTTAAATGCTTTTCTGCATTGATCAAACACCTATATTTCCAAAGCCCCTATATCTCTTTAAATGGCAGAGATTAAGGAGACTGCCCTTCAGTTTAAATATGAAAAAACTAAAGACCAAAGACAGGAAGTGGCTTATCACACTGCAGTGGAGTAAGAACTAAAGTCAAGGTCTGCTGTCTACCTGAAAGCTCTTCCAGTGTGGAAAGGATGGGCCAAAGCAGCCTACTGATGAGCCAGACAGCCCCAACAGACTCACTAGCCTCCCAACCTGCAGTTTGAGCATCCCCTGGGCAATTTCCTCCTAGCCAGGGCCCACTCCTCACACTTGGTTGGCACATTCCTCTCCTGCACAGAGAGGGCGTTCTCGCTGTCCGCACTCCGCAGGCGCCCTCGGGGGTCCAGGTATTGCACTGCCAGACCCATGTTCTCGCCATTTGTGCTCAGGGAGCGGCTGGAGGGCACCAGAGTGAACAGGTTACCTTGATGACGTCGTATTCGGGGAAATGTTCTTCTGCCTGATGGGGTACAGGGGCCAGAGTAGAGCAAGTCAGACCTCTCTCCTTGAAGCTGAATTTGCAAACCAGGTGATAACACTAGCTCTGGTCCATCCTATCTGCCTTCCTAACTCACTCATGCCAGAAGAGCTAATGTCCCAAGCACCTTGAGAGTCAGGACAAAAGCAGGAATTAGGAAGCAGCCAGAGATGGTTAAGGAAACTCTGGCCAAAGGGAAGGCACAGGGCTGTCCCTCAAGGACCACAGCACTTGCAAGGCCAATCCACAGCTGAAGTCTGTTTTCCTTGGCATCCTAATTCTAAATCTCTACAGAAGCTCCATTCTGTTTGCTGCCACCAGGCAGAAGAGGGCGATGGAGAGCTGGTGCCACGAAGCGGGCTGTGCACTCAGACAAAGGACAGAGTTCCCTGTGGCAGTACCCTGAATCTACAAATACGGTCCTCCCCCTTTTTTGTTTTCCATCTCTAGAGGCTCAAGTCTGGGCACAACTTCCTCAGGAATAAAGGAAACACGGGGTCTGGAGCGCCCTGGCCCACCTCTTGGCAGTGGCTTTCCCATGGCAGAGCTGTAACTATGTACTCTTTGAGGCAGCCAGCAGGGTAGAAATGCACTCACCATCGTTGTAGTCCTTGTGGTGCACAGAAACATGGTAGCGCCGGGGGTAGGTTCCACCTTTGACCCCTTTGTCATAGAGCTGAGTTTCCCGATCTGAGTAAGATAAAGGAATCACTGGCTTCTGGGTGATCCATTTAAGCCCCTAGGTCACCTGAGACCTCAGAGCAGTAGGTCCAAGAAGAATTAAAATAGAGTTCTGGCTTCTCAACTCAGCTTTCAAAAGCAGAATGCCTGCAGCCCCATCCTGACACCCTGCAGTACTCACAAAGGCTCTGGGGGACTCACCCGAGTACTCCTGCCTGTTGTCTGGGAAGCTCTGGGCTCGGGACATTCGTGACTTCCGGAAGGATGGACTGGAAAAAACAAAACAAAACCACAAAGTAGACTTTAGCATACTTCCAAAGCAGCTCACCAGGGCAAAAGGCAGGATATATCCAGACGGACTCCCTTTTCTAACTTCCTCACACGTCATTACATGGTAGGAAGCAGAGCACAAGAGAAACAGTCCTTTTCTGGGCTCAGCCTCCTACTTTCTCTTTACTAGCCTGAGATCCAAATCTGACAGGACCCGAATGATGAACTCCTCCAGTCCTACCAAACTCCACTCTGGCTGCACAGCACTTTCCTTTCTTACCCTTTCCTCCCACCTTAGTAACTGGAGGAGTTCCAAAAAAAAACCCCAAAAAACTCTTGCCTAGGGCAGTAATAAAAACAGCACCACCACCAAGCATCTTCCTTTCAGACTAACTACCACCATCCCATTTTGGAGATGGTGAACCTGAGGCAAAGAGAGGTTAAGGGACTTGTCCAAAGCCACTCGACTAATATTTGGTGAAGCTGGGGTCCATCTGGCTCTAGATCCCATGAAAGGAAAATGGAAACCCTATGCCCAAGTTAGGCCAGGCATCAAGGAAGTAACTCCAGGTCATTGCGTTTCACTCCTAAGGAGAAGAAAACAAGCAAGGGAGGGACGGAGAGAAAGAACCAAGTGAGTAAATTTAGCTATCTTTCTCAGTGTCCACCCGAATGGCTCTTTCCCTTGCAACTGCTAGACCCAGACCTTCTGTAGTAGTCCTACTGCCCCCGCCCTCATACCCACGGTTTGGTCACAGAGCTTAGGAGACAGTCCAAAGTCAGAGTCAGTCCCTATCCTGGCAGAGCCCTCAATTTGCAGCAGAAAGCCCCAAACAAAGCTACAAATTGGATACCAGTAAGTAACTACGACTATTATTTTTTCTTTTCCCAATCCTCACCTGAGGATATTTTGTTCCATTGCTTTTTCAGTGTGGAAGGGAGAGAAAGAGAGAGAGAAACATCGATGTGAAAGAGACACATTAATTGGTTGCCTCCCACATGCACCCTGACTGGGGCCAGGGATTGAGCCTGCAACCGAGATACGTGCCCTTGATCAGAATCAAACCTGAGACCCTTCAGTCCGCGGGCTGACACTCTAACCACTGAGCCAAACTGGCTAGGGCTATGACTGTATTCTATATCTAGGGGGAAGACAGTGCTCATCAGTGCTCAGATCTGTTAGGAAAGACATAGTACCAATTTGGCTATGGTCATAAGGTTAGTACCCACACAAACAATCAGTGACACTAAGAAAAAAAAATCTACAAACCTGCTCCATAGCCTCTCACCATAGCCCTAAGACCAGCCACATGTGATCAAACACTCTCTTGTACATAACAGGATCAAGGTGAGAGACTGGCTGGATCAGTGCCAAAGCCAACTCTAAACATACCCCGGCTGATGGGCAAACCAGCTCCAGAGAACCATTAGGTATGTGAAGGATAGCATGTGTTCCTTTCCCAAGTACAAGAACAAGATTACACACCAAACAGGCTGTGTATAAGCTAGGCAGTCTGGATATTTTGGTTTCTTTTTTTATATCCCAGTTTCTTATTCCACCAGGAACACTTTAAAAAAAAAAAAGTGAGCCCACAGATGATAATTCAATTTGTCCCCAAAACACTGACGGTCCACTGCTTCTCAGTCCAGATCACAGCAATGAGGCCAAGAGTACTAGAAAGCAGCACGTATAATGTAGCGAGTCAAACATACAAAGCACTTAGAACAATAAAGCAAGAATTTAATACATGTGAGCTGCTATTCTAAGCTGCTATTACATTCATCTCATTATATAAACATAATTCTCATGGTGTTTGGAAAATTAAGGAGGGGCTTCTTTCCCAGAAGCATGTTTTTACCATGGGCCTGTAAGACCAGTGTCTAGATTGGAGACTACACACTAGCTAACTCTATTTCCTCAGCCCATCAGATCCAAAATGTCTATGCACTAACCCCAACACCGCCACAGTCCCATACCTGTCTGCTGACCTGTCCAAGGATTGGCAGCTTCCCGACAAGGAATTTTCAGCACTGTCCAGGGGATCCAGCATCTGCAAGGCAAGTCATACAATAAAACGCCAACCCTAGCCCAAATCCCTGAATCCAAGTAAGTCAGGGCTTTAAGGCCCAGCCAAGGTCAGCAAATGATCCTTTTTGTCAAAATATGAAAGTGCCCATTCTCTGCCCATGCAGTGAGATGATTAAGAAGGTACCATTCTCCAAAGTTCGAAAGGCAAGTATCCAGGAGAGAGAAAAATGCCTGGCTGGCATCCCAAGGAGCTCTGCCAGGAGAGCAAAGCTGACTCTGCTTCTCTTGTTGGCATTTTCTTGGCTCATAACTGCTGGAGCCTGGCGCTGGAGATGGTACTACCCTGCAGAAGCTTCTAGTGTGTTTGGGTGGGACCATAATGCATCTGTTTACACTCCATAATTTATAATTTACAAAGACAAGTACTGCCCTCACTTCACAGATGAGCCACTACAGGTCTAGAAAGTTTAGGAGAATGGTCTAAGGTCATGAAACCAGTTAGTGAGCAGTTGATACAGACTGAAAATTTCCCAGTTCCTGGTTCCATGCAGAGGCAACAGGTATCTATATAAGTTAAAATGTGTCTCTGCCCCTTGGTCAAATGCAGAAACAAAAAGCCTTCAGATTAGCTTTGTCTCCAACTAATCTCCCCTTCGTTTTGTCCATGGGGCAAGGGTATATCTAGTACCAGAGTATTCATTATCTGAGACCCAAAGTTAAACATGACATAGGGAAGCAGAATACTGGAATTATGAAAATTCACTAACAACTGTCATAAAATTAGTTTCCAACTCAAATGACCTCTTCCCATTTAATACTAGGGTTCATCTCACCCATAATTTCAAACACTTTAAGCCACATTGTCACATACGATATTTTTTTAAAAAAAACCTACCAATCAAGACAAATTAATTGCAAAGTAAAACTGCAAATCTTGCTAAGAATATAAGATTTTCCATAGTGGACAAAACCAATATGGAAAGAACTGCTCGCAACCCATCAAGTGCATATTTGGCACATCTGGTGCAGTTCACAGACAAGAGAAGGGGCGAGCATAACAGCACGACAGGTGCAGTGAAGGCGGGGGAATACCAAAGGCTCTACAGAGGCCTTTGGAAAACCCACCGAATCTCATGCAGGCTCCTGTAAAAAGATGACCCTCTTTATGACAGCGCCGCAGGAGTCAAAGGGGAAGTGAAGGAAGTTATGTTGCACTAGTAAAATTTTTGTTAGAAAAATTAAGTCAAAAAAAAATCAACATGAATCATGGGCCTTAGAATTTCATTCTAAAAATTAGCAAATAGATGCAAGTATTACCTAAATCTGATTAAAGAAAAAATAAAAATAAAAAAATTTATCTTAGCTTCCCTTTTTAAAAAAGTCTCAATGGAATATTCTTTACTATATACTATGCTGTTTTGGTCTCCAAGTGCATTTATCTTGAATGGCTCAATTACCAGCAGCTATTCTCTTTAGTTAAAGAGGCGGGCACTGGAGAATGACCTAGGCATTCCCCAGCCACCACCTTCCTTGGCCTCTTTCCAGAAGTCCTCACTAGGAGTCTAATACTCCCATGCCTCCTAGCTCGAGGCAGGTAAAGCAAAGCAGTAAAAGAATCTGGGTATAAGACCATGGGGAGGAATAGAGACCAAAAGCAATCCAACTCATTTGCAATCTCTGAGATTTTACACCCATCACCCCTAGAACAGCTGATGTTCAGAAGTGCTCTGGTTAGAGAAAACAAGGATGCTCAGTAAAATACCCAAGATGGGAATATGCAGCTAAAAGCACTCAAGGTCACTGTTCTAAATATAAATTTACCTGGAAGGCAGAAATATAGAAAAGAAGCAGTGTAAAGAGCTTCTCATAGCCTATATAGTCTGAATAATGTTGTATAGAGATTAGCTATTAAAGGGAAAAGAAAAGTTATAAGAATTAGTTTTAGGAGAAAGGAAAGTTACAAGAAGTAGTTTTTGGTAAAAATCCCCATGTGACGGTGCTGGTTTTTCTGTTGGATGGTTTACCCTCAAGAAATTTTCCCTTCCAAGACCAAAACTCAATATTTATAAGAGTGGATATTTCTCTTTGCAATCAAAGCAAGGTCATTGAAAAGACTTCAGAATGAGGTTAGAATTCTCTCTTGCTGGGTTCACTCAGCCAAAATGCCATTTTCATCAACTGAGTCACTAGTTAGAAAGTTAGCCATTTTTAAAAAAACCTCAACATACTGTGAGATTCATTCAAATTGTTGCATATGTCAGTGTTCCTTGGTTGTATGACTATAATATAATTTGTTTATCCATTCTCTCTTTGATGAACATTTAAGTTGTTTCAACTTTTGACTCTTAATGAGTAAAAAGCTCTTATAAACATCCATGTAGAAATCTTAGTTAAAAATGTGTGTGTATGTGTGTGTGTGTCCATTAAAATGGGTTTAGCCATTGTGGTGGACACACCATAAAGTGATCCTCCTTCCAAGTCACAGCCTTGTATAATCCCATCTCCTTGAGTCTGGGTAGAACTTGGAACTTGCTTCTAGTGAACAGACTATGGCAAAGAAGATGGGATACTGAGATATTCATTCCTATGATTATGTTACATTTTATAAGACTCCATCTTTGCAGACTGGAGCGAACTTTCCCACTGGCCTTGAAGAAGCTGCCCTATTGTGAGAGGGCCACGTGGCAAGGAACTATAGGTGGCTTCTAGGAGCTTAGAGTGGCCCCTGGCCAAAAGCCAGTAAGAAAACAGGGACCACAGTACTCCGATCCTTAAAGAACAGAATTCTGCCAACCATGTGAGCTTGGAAGGGAACCCCAAGCTCCAGAAAGAAATGTAGCCTGGCCAACACTTGATTGCAGCCTTGTGTTACCCTGAGCATAGGACCCAGCTAAGTCATGACTGGATTCCTGACCCAAGGAAACTATAAAATAAATGTATGCTATTGTAAGCCACTAAGCTGGTAGCAATTTGTTATGTAATAACAGAAAACGAATATAGTTGCTTAGCATCATAAAAGTTCATCCAAAGTAACCAATCCTACAGTGTAATCTGGATATGGTATGTTCCCTACCTTTTATCAAAAAAATAGCAAAACTAAAACACAGCTGATGAAAAACAAAATCTGTTAGTTTAGGGTTGGTCATATGTTAAAACTGCTGAAATGACAGGCAGTTAAAAGGAAGTATACAAACAGCAGAGTGGTATTCTGCAAGGAGATCACAGTGAAATAACTACAGAAGAAAAAACTCTTGTCAAATGCGCATTCAGCACCCCAAGGAGGCTAAGTAGTTTAGGTCCTATCTTTGGCACAAATTGATATTTGTCCCCTAGAAAGGAATAATCCATATTTGGGACAGAACTGGTTTACAAAAGAGCTATTGGATGGGGCTCAAGTCCCTTACCTCTGCACCATGCTCACTGAGAACTCCCCAATTTAACCTTCGTCTGACACACTCCAAGAAGCACCCAGGTCCATAGGCCCATACTCACGCACTGCTCGTTGGTCTCTGGAATGAACTCCCCCTCACTGTTGATGCTGGTGTAGGACCCCTGCCGGGCAATACGCTGCTGCCGTTCAGGCACGTAGCCAGGGGGAGGTGAGCTTCGGCCAGGATTCTGGGAGCCTAGATCACAGAAACAAGACTTTTGAGCATGGTCCAGGATGTGCAGTCTGAGAGGAGCAGACATACAGCCAGCTCAGACCAACTGTCTCTTACAGAGGCTGGTGGAGAGCCAATTACAGCTCTTTGAACATCCTGGGAGAGTGCTGAGGCTCAAGTCAACTTCTTGAGCCAGGTGGCTCCTCCCCCTAGCACAAGAACCCAGAAAAGGAGGAAAAATACTTACAGAAAAGTCAAAGAATGATAAGGAGGGTTGTGCTTTGAAAGACAATTTCTAAGGAGTTTAAACTATTATTTTCAATGTCCTTCAAGAAACTGAATCCACGTGAAGTCAGTCACTAAGAATACATGGCTGATCAAGTTATACAGAAGACATTTTAATAAACTGGTCATCAAGAACACTTCCAATATTTTGTTGGGGCATCAACCCAGCCTCTCTAAGGACCACTGACAATTAGGTTTTTTCAGGTGGGAAGGTTAACCTGGAGCTCTCTGTAACTTGGCTTCCCCATCTGACTCCACAGCAGAGATCATATACAAAATTGCTCTGAAAACATAGGTATCTGCTGAATTTCCAGTCTCAACACCTCACTCATGGGGTAGAGGCTACCAATTCTGAGGTACATGAGCCATGCCTTCCAAATGATCTCAAACAGCTCATGGAGGAAAGAGTCGGTTTGTTCAAATTTTCTAAGCCCTAACTGACACCTTGAGCCTCTAAGCAGAAATTAACACTGCTCTGAGTATAAACTTAGGGATATTATACCATGAACTAACAGAGCAATGAAGTCAGTCAAGACAATTTTTCTTTTCCTTATTATACTGTTAGCTCTCGTTTAACCCTCTCACAACACCCCTGCAGTGGAGGTGCATTATCATCCACATTGAACAGAAGGGAAAGCCCCGGCCCAAAGCCATAGAGTGATTTAATGGTGGGGCTGCAGCTAGAAAACAGTCTTTGTGACTCCCAGTGCAGTCAGCCAAGGCAATTCTGAGAACATAATTTATTTCCAAAAGGCAGGCATGCTGCTCAATACAGTGATGGAAGGCAAAACTTCTCCTTGTCTGGGCCATACACTCCCCATGAACAATCCAAACAGAGGATGGGGATCCCCATCCATGGGGAAATGGGACTACCTTTCTGCCAAAGCAGAAGGGAGACTAATGTAGGGATTTTGTGAGAGCAAGAGGGAAACATAGTGCCATGTTTCGTGCAGCTCGGTTTCAGAGCTGTTCTGTCCATGGTCACTTGTAAGTCAGAGGTCAGGGATGCAAGATGCCATCTGGCCAATAAAGGACTAAGAGGCAATGACAAGATGGAGGTAAGGGAAATCTGGACCAAAAATAAATCAATTCCACTTTTCAGAGGCCCAAATGTCAAAGACTCACGTAGCTGGCCATTTCCCTTGGCACTCACTGTAGCACAAAATTCTAGTGCAACCATGAAAAAAGGTGTTGTTGTTTTTTTAAAGCCCTACCATACCCCCAAACATGGAGCACTATTTAATACTTGGCTTACAAACATTAGCCTAGTGCCCACTTCCCAATTCCGTCTTTGATAACATTTTAGTAGCCTATGCATTCTATGGAAGTCAATCCATATGTTGGCAACATTTGTCAGCAGCAGAAGCAACCTAGAGCAAGGTATAGTGAGAAGAGCCTAAACTTGGGAATTAGGTAAACAGGGGTTCAAATCAGGCTTTGCAACTCAGCTGAATAATTTAAACTCTTGCCAGAATTTCCTCACTTGAAAAAATGGGGAGAAATATCTACCTCATAAACTTTTTTTGGAAGTTATAAATGTGGTGACACAGGTACACCGACATGGTAGGAACCCAGTAGAATTCCATTCGTTTCCTTCACACTCTGTGGCAGATATAATGGGTTATACTCAGGATCCACTCTACCCTTCTAGCATGCCTTCCTGTGCTTCAGAAGTCCATAAACGAAAAGCTGCTATTTCCAAGACCCCCTGTAGGTTCATCCAGTCAGATGCACTTGTGTGAGATTTAGATAGCTTCCTGCTATTCCTGCTGTTTCTGGGCACCATACATGGAAGCCTTGGTATTTCTACTGCAGCATTAGAAGAGGCCCCACACTTGGCCTCCAGTTTTCCTGATATCAAGGCCCATGTAAGTGGTGGCACTGTGCTTCTGGATGTGGTGGCTTCCTGATTATAGAAAAGGGAGGAGCTCTTTGGTATGTCTGTTTCTCACTCTCCCAATGGCCCAAAAATCAGAAGTGCACTAAATTTCTTCTTGCTAAAACTACTTAGAGTAGATTCTGTTCTGTGCAACTGAACTCTAGACAATAAAACCTGGCATGTCCTAGAACAAACAAAAAAATGTCTACTGTAAGGGACTGATGAGAGAGAGAGAGAAACTCTTACTGATGGATGAGATCGCAGACATTGGTTCAAACTATCCCAGACAGGATGAAGTGCCCCTCAATCTGTTACCTGGAGCGTCTATGGTGAAACCTCCCTGGGATAAAATATCCATGGCCCCTGACACCCATTCTCTTCTTCTTCAGCTGCCAGTAAACTCTTCCCTGGTTTTGCAGGTGGGATGGGACTAGCTCACATGAAGCCGGCACTACAGACCCAGGAGGGGCTGGGGGAAAACAGTAAAGGTTTTCTGAGCTTTTATTTCCAGCCAGAGACTTTCACTTTTTCCAATACACATTGCTGCCTGCAGAGAGCCAGCCTTGTTATCTGATGGGCAAAGGGCCAGGGACTATTGTGCACAGGCCCACAGCTTGGGGCAGGAAAGGGAAGTCTCCCCAAACCAATGGCTATCAGAGGAAGCGAATGGAAAAACCAGGAGTTGGCATAACTGCTCTAGAGCATTTTCAGTTTTGTTTTTATCTTCATTTCAGAAATTGGGGGCCAATGAGATGCACAACAGGAGTCAAGAACAAGTGAGACAGGGGCCTGAACAGGACAGGATCCTGAACTCTTAAGAGAACTCGCAAGACTCACTGATGCTCACATACTTACCAGCAGGGACAGCAGTGAGCCAGATAGTACAAATCACAGTGCTATGTGAGACACAGCTCATTCTAGGTCTCAGGAGGCAAGCACAGCAAGAATGGAAGGTTCTATGGGACAACCTTCCCTGGCTCTAGTTTCATCAGGCCATTTGTACCAAGGGGCACCATCCCAGTACGAGCTGAAGTAAAAGAGTAGAGTAGTACTAGCCCACTCTATGTTCAGAGCGGCACACAATTTCCCATGAAGGAAAAAACCAGGGGCTTAAGCTGCCGGTGGTCCACATTCCTCCTGGGGCATACAAGCTCTATGCTAGATTCCTTAACTCAGAGCAGCAGAGTCGAAACTAAACTCTCATCGTAGTATATGGCTGATTCTTTTGCTCTGTACTCTGACTCAAAGCTGAAAGACAGGCTCTCAGATTCTAGCCCTTCTCATAGGAGTCTCCTGCCGGGAAGCTGATGTAGTCAGGAAGTTGCCTCTGGAGGGAGTTCTAGGGCTTTGGGTCAGTGTTAATGTGCAGGTCATTGCAAGTACAAAGAGATAGCTTTTTTTGGCCAACAACTATTTTCTTTAAACCCTATTCTCTCTTGGGGGGCAGATGAAATGGGGAGAGGTATCAAATAACTTTTTCTTCCTTAATGGAAAATCTTAACCAATATTTCCCAATCTGCTCACACTGGACCAGAGCTTCTCAACATTTTCATTCCATAAGACCCTGAGAAGAGCCTATGTGTTTCAACTTTCAAAATTCCCATTTTATTTTGAAGTTGCTACTGCCATTAAACAGCTTCTGATCTTATCTAGTATCACAGAAGAATTTACAACAAGGAGAAAAGCCTGTAGAAGTGAAGGAAGCTGGCCATTTGATTTCTCTGTGTATGGTCTCTACCTCTGCAGTTGTGGTTTCCTCTTCCAAATCTGTACTAGGACTGGAGGTTTGCACTGTGCACAGCTCTCTAACTCATTACTGCCTGAGTGTCAATACAAGTCACCCTATCCTTTCAACATTCCTTCTTTCCCTCTGTCTGAATTTGCCTTCCTCTTCGAGGACTCCCCTCCTCCTTGCCATTATAAGCCCTCTACCTGGATTTCCCAATTCCTCTCTTGCAGGAGTCAGCTCCCCCATGGTCCCCCCCTCTCACCTTTAAGCTTCTTTTCAGCTGTCTTGGCACCTCCTCTCATAAAGCTGCTCAGATCTCTAGCCTAAAAATATCCTGAGCTTTTTTCTGCCACTTTCTTAAGACACTACCTCATCTCTTTTTCTTTCACGGCCAAACTCCTTGAAAGAAGTTATTGCCTCCACTGTCTTGTCTTGTCAGCTATCCATTCCTTAGAGGTTGCAACCTGGCCTGCCTCACTGTGGGAGGCAGTGGCAAGACAAGGAGCAAGATGGAGTAAAAACAGAGGCCAAGGCATTTGAGATGCATTAGACCAAACGGGAGTCAGGAATTGACNAGGCAGTGGCAAGACAAGGAGCAAGATGGAGTAAAAACAGAGGCCAAGGCATTTGAGATGCATTAGACCAAACGGGAGTCAGGATTTGACAGAGACAAGTCCTTGAGTTGAGGCTTGGTTAGCTACATGGCTTAAGGGCACTGCCCAATGTATTATGAAAGAAATGGAGCTTGAGCTCAGCTTCAAAAGTGGGTACAATTTCTACAGGCAAAGATATGAGGAAGAGCACCTTCACAGACATAGGGAAATTCCATCTGCCTTGTCTGGGGTCTCTCTTTTGGGTTAACTAGTTACCAAGTAGTTTTTTGTTGGTGAGGGTGGTGCGGTGGCTTGTTTTGTGTTTTGGGATGAACTAGTTTAACAGGCTAACTGTCCTGAAAAAAACTGGAATTTAAGGTATGTATGTTATGATGGCAAAAACAAAGGATGAACACGATAGCTGTTATTTGAAAAACTGTCATATGAAATGTGTTATTTGTGTTAGCCATGTTGCTCAGTAAAGCAGTACTAGAGCCAATGGGTAAGGTGAGAGAAGGAAGATTTTCATTCAGAATAC